TTAAAAAAAGGTTTTCTCAAAATTAACTGCAAAATCAAAATAAGTTTTAAATGCACTGTACAGGATACGTTATTGAATTTTTTAATATAACTGCTTCAAATCACATCTTATAGAGTTTCTCAAAACTTTAAGGTTTTCTGTAAAAATGAACTGAAAATTCTGTATTTTCAGGAACTTTCAAAAGCCAATTTCCAAATTTTTTTCTTTAAACTTTGGGTAATGCTAAATAGACTGAGAAACATTACATAAATGCCGCTTTACATATTATTTTGTTGTTGTTTCTTTCAAATATCAACCACAAGTTTTTTAAAAATATTTCTCAAAAATTTGAAAGTTTTCGGTGAAAATGAACCTCAAAATGCATGTAAATACTCAAACATTTTTCTCAGAAATAGCTGTAAATTTTTCAACATAAATATATATTACAAGACCTGGCTTTACTCTTCTATAATATACTTAGTCTTATTTTAATTTTATAATTAGGAGACCAAAAAATTGGGAGGGAAAAGATGTGAAAAAATGTCTTTCAGAAGCCAAAAGAAGCTGAAAAGAGATTGGGACAAAACTGAAAAGATGGCCCAGATTAAAGAGATAAGGAAACTAACTAGAACAAGAAAGTCTGTGCCTTTCAGTTCCACCACTAGTTTGTTTGTTTTTTGCCTTTGGCAGCCCATCTGCCCACCCGCCCATTTCTATTCTACCCATCGGCATGTCTGCCCTTGTGTAGATGCGTCTGTCCATTGATCTGAATTGGTGTGTCTATTCATCCTCCCGTCCTTTAGTCATGATAATTACACATTATTGAATTTGTTGAAATGATAATGTGCTTAAGTCCAATGATGATTTTATTAACATGAATTTCAAAAAGATCTAAACAAAAATTCTGATTAAAACTAAATAGAAATTCTTACATTTCCAATGACATAAGGCTCATCCATAAATTATGTAACGCCAAACACGAGGGGAGGGGGTTTGAGGCAACACTAAGCTGCATTACATATAGGTAGAGG